TGAGACAGGGTCATTGCCCTGGAGCCAAAAGGGACCTTGGAGGTCATTTAGTCTAGCCAGGGCCTTTTGCTTATGGACGCCCAGAGACGGGCTTGTTCCAAGTCCCCCTGGAAATAAGGAGCAGATGTGGGAGCGGGAGCAGCTGCGCCCTCTGACCCTGCCTCACCTTGATGATTCCTTGCCCTCAGGTTGCTTATTTTCTGGTGGGCAGGGAGGGAGTAACTTCAACAGGAAGAGAAGTATGTTCCCCCAGCCCCTACTCCCAAGCCTTCAACTTTCTGGGTCAACTAAACAGTGAAAATGTATTACATCATCCTCATCTTCATCATCATTAACATTTCTTTTTTTTTTTGGTGAGGCAATCGGGGTTAAGTGACTTGCCCAGGGTCACACAGCTAGTAAATGTCAAGTGTTTGGTCTGAGGTCAAATTTGAACTCAGGTCCTCCTGACTTCAGGGCTGGTGCTCTATCCACTGCGCCACCTAGCTTCCCCTTTAACATTTCTTTCTGAGCCTTTTCAATTTCACAAAGCACTTGACACACATTATTTCATTTCATCCTCACAACGACCCTGTGTGGTGGGCGCTTTACCTGTTGCTGGAATTCATCGGGTATATGTACTTCCCATTCAAGAAAGGTCACATTCAGCACCTTTTCCCAGATGCCTTTTAAAAGCTGGGCCTGTGGGGCAAAATTGCCCTGGGATGTTAATAAAGGACCAAAGGCACAGCAAAGGAACCGTGTTTGTGTCTATATGCCCCATTAACTCAGCCAATGAACCTTGGGCCCCTCTTGAGATGGAGAAACCAGAGCCTGGAGCCATCACCCAACCTGGCTCCATTTTTTACAACTCCTTTTTAAAAATTCTTATTATTATCTTTGTAATGAGGCCATTTTATTAGCCCACAGTTTACTGCCAAGTTGATGAAATCTCCATCATGTTTTACAGTGCACAATCAGGGTATAAAATAGTTTTTAACTTTTATTTTAACTATCCGAAGATTGCTCTTTTGCTTCCAGAACCCTGCCTTTCTCCCTGTGTGGTGCCAGAGCTGACCCCTCTGTCACTGCCCCAAACACGGCTAATTTTCTCCTCAACAAAAAATGTTTGGTTGTAAGGAGCCAGAGACTTGACTTGCATTTTCCATTCCCATGGGCTTCATTTTCAACCAGACTTATAATTATGACTCCTTTCATAGTCTTCTTAAGAGGATTCCTCAATTCAAACCATGGAGAAACAAAGAGGAGTCACAGGTAGTCCCAGGGATGTTAAAACAACATCAGAAAGTCACCAAAGAAAGGCCCCCTGGAAAACACGACAGACGCACCACACCAGGACCAAAAAGGAGGATCCCAAGAAAGAGAAAAGCGATGAATGGAACCATTACCACGTCTACCCCAGGGATGAACCATGCAAGGGGGCTCTCAACATTTATAATTTGATTGGAATATAACTAAATGTATGCATTGATCTAACTAGTATAATTTTATTATGTATATTATATTTCTGTGTTATATATGTTATCATGGATAACATGTTATTCTATAATATATATAAAATGTTATTATGCAATATGATACATGTGTTACATATAATACAAACAATATATTATGTTGTAGATAATATTGTTGTACATTATATAATATGACATAGTAATATAGAACCCATCATATTAATATAATATACCCCTAAATATCAATATATTATATCAATATTATATAGCAATATACTATAATAATAGGTTATTTATATGATTACATATTATATTTTCTAAATGTAGAATAAATACATATATAGATACTATATAATATTATTAATATAGCTATATTATATATTATACATATGGTTATATGTTATATATGATGTCACATTATAAATAATATATTATATATTTATTTTATTGGCATAGCCTAGTGATGAATATTGAATTTCTTTCCACTTATTTAAACCTTTCTTTATGTCTATAAACATATAGTTGTAGCTCTATTTATATAAATCTTGTGTGGCTGTCGGTAGGTTTCAATATAACTATAAAATGCACGTGATATCTGAGAGCTCACCAGGTCTATTCATCATTTGGTTCCTGGTTTGCGTTAGTACTATAGAGAAATGCTGATGATTCTTGTGGATTTACTTTGTCACCATCTATTTTACTGAAACAATTAATCATCTCCATCAGTTTCACTGATGATTCTTTGGAATTTTTCAGCTACATCATCATGTCGTCTGCCAAAAGGGATCATTGCTGTCTTGATTCTGTGTGTGTTTGTGTAAAGGAGAGGATTTCTCCCCCTTTCCCCCTTCAATGAGTTAGAATCTCTGAACCCAGAATATAATCCTCAAGTGAGGTGTTGTTTTCTTACAACCTCACAACACGGTTAGCTTTTTAGATGTTTAAATTAGATTCTTTACCCCTGGATACCCTTTTCAGGTAGAATTTCTTCTTTGGGTCAAAAATGGAGCTGGAGTGATTGGCTGAGAAGGTATGTTGGACAAACCTCTAGGGGATTTAAATAGCTGTAGGAATTACAGCAATTCCCTAATCCAGCAGGGGAGAGTCCTGGGTCCAGGAGTTGGAGCCAAAAGTGGAGGAAAAATCAGACCCCTGAGAGACAATTATTTAGGAGGGGCAGTGGAGGGAGAAGTAATTTTCTCCACCTTCCCTTCCCTTGACCATGTCATCAGACAGTTGGAGGTATCTGCCTCACTCAGCTGTACACGAAATGTGAGCTGCCTCTTCCCAGTGTCCTTGTGGAAGAGTGCAGTGGGGAGGGGCTGGGGAGAAGGCTTCATACCCACTGTTCTTATTCTACTATCTTAGCAACTAAATGCCTTTGCAAAAAGTTAGTTAAGTCTACTTTGCGGTTGTTGGCTTTTTTTTCTTTTTTAGGCAATTGGGGTTAGTGACTTGCCCAAGGTCACACAGCTAGTAAGTGTCAAGTGTTTGGTCTGAGGCCACATTTGACCTCAGGTCCTCCTGACTCCAAGGCCGGTGCTCTATCCACTGTGCCACCTAGCAGCCCTTACTAAGTGGTTGTTAATGGGACACACGAAGGTGGTAGGATCATAAGAGCAATAGTATTCAAAGTATGGTGTTCAGTCATTTTTCAGTTGTGTCCAACTCTTTGTGACCCCATTTGGGGTTTTCTTGGCAAAGTTATTGGAGTGCTTTTCCATTTCCTTTTCCAACTCATTTTGCAGATGAGAAACTAAAGCAAACTGGGTTAAGTGACTTACCCAGGGTCACACAGCTAATAAGTGTATGAGGCCACATGAGTCTTCCTGACTCAGGCTTGGTGCTGTATCCACTATACCACCCAGCTTCCTGAAGCATAGCCCCATGGGAAAACTGGGCCTGATATCCTACCTCCATCACTAGCTGTTACCATGGACAAGCCACTCAAACCTCTAAGTCTGTTTCCTCACCTATAATGTAGGGATAACAATACCTATAAAACCTGCCCCACAGGGTATGAGACTAACATGAGGTAATGAATGTAATGCACTCTACCAGTTTTAAAGCTCTATCCAAACAATTTTGTGTAACTATGGGATCAAGGACATACGGTGAGGGTTGAGTCTTGGCTGTGGGGAGAAAGGTCTCTCTCCCCCTGTGCTGGGACAGAGCAGGGAATCTTGGTGAAGACCTTGAGAGATTAGGGAGGGAGGAAATGGGGTCCTTCACTCTGATGACTTTCCTATTCTCAGTGCCCTAGTAAGTGAGGTCATCTACTGAGACAAAGGAGGGAGCTGGGGGCTTGAAGAGAGAAAAGAAGGTTGGGAACAGCTGCTTTTGGGAGGATGACAGAGGATCAGAGCTGAGTCAAATGGTTTCTGTACATCTGTGAGAGCAGAACAGAGGTGAACTAATCATCACGTTGAATGACCCTAGTCAGCCGTGGTTTGATGACTTTCTCTAGGAGCTTTCAGTGGCTGGGCATAGGAGGAGAAGGAGAGAAAGCAGATGGTGGAGCAGGGTGTTACCAGCACGTGGACATTCCAGGTTAAAGGACAGTGTCTTGTTGAACTGCTGAACTCTAGGGTCAAGTTTGAGAAGGGGGCAGTGAGATCAGAATGGAGGTGACTGGCTAAGAGAATGGGTAGAAAAAGGGGTGAAGATGAGGACTGAGTGGGGCACTGGGAGAGCTGGAAGGACAGGAGATTATACTCAGAAAGAGGCATTTCAGAGATATGGAATGACTTTGGGTGACTAAAACAGAGGGGAGATCAATGGCATGGAAGTCAAGTGGCTGATAAATTGGGAGGCCAGGACATTCAAAGGCATATTCAAACCTGTACATTGCCATCCCCAAGTCCGAGGGTGCCTGTGAGAAGGAGAATGACCTAGAGGCCAGTAGGGATTACAGCAGGTGATGGAAGAACAGTGGTAGATTGGAAAGGATGTTGGGATTATAGCCAGGAGACCTGGATTGAAATCCAAGCTCTACCAGCTGTGTGACCTTGAGCAAGTCACTTTGCCTCAGTTTCCTCATCTGTAGAAAAGGGGGCAGGCTTTGAAGTGAGCTTTGAGTCACTGATCCCCACCATCCTGACTGAGTCAGGACTATAGCCAGATGCAGTAAACCTTGGAGTATATGTGACTGGGTGTGTGGAGGTCAGGGGGTACCGAGGGATGGGAACAGGGAGGAACAAGGACTAGGCCAGCTGACCTTCCCAAACCTATATGTGCTGGGGGGATCCACCATTGTCAGGGAGGCAAGAGGTGAGATCTTCAGGAGAAGTCCAGGTTTCTATTATGTCTGGAAGATGGAGGACATGTGTGAGGGAGAGATTAAGCAAGAAGATGTCAGAGGAGGGCTCAGGGGAAGTGGGAGGCCTGGAGGATGAGAAGGGACTGTGGAGGAATGGGGCTGAGCAGGAAACAGTGGACAGGTGGGAGGAAGGGATGGGGGATGGGGCTCAGGCTTAGACCGGCATGTTTATTTTAGCTCTGCTGTTGCCTGGTTCCCGTCCAGTCCTGCCCAGGCAGGCAGAGCCTGGCCCTTTCCCACTCGCCTAGGGAACCCTCCGTTACAAACAGCAGGCAACACTGAGGGTCCCAGCTCCCCCATCCTGCTAAGTTTTCTTCTCCTTCTATGACAGCCCTGGAGTTCTAACCTACATAGAGGCCCAGGAATCTGAACCAGAACCCAGAGCAGAACAAAAGACATGTAGGGAAGAGGAGACACTCCCTAATCCTCAGCCTTCATGGAGCGGCCTGAGCCAAGCAGTGCCGCTGAAAGCTCCCTGACCTCCTGGAGCACATCAGGCTCACCAGCCTCTACAGCCACCCCCGTCTCACCTGCCTTTACAGCTACCCCTGTGGTCTCACCAGCCTCTACAGCCATCCCTGTGGTCTTACCAGCCTCTACGGCCACCCCTGTGGTCTCACTAGCCTCTGCAGCCACTCTTGTGGTCTCACCAGCCTCTGCAGCCATCTCTGTCATCTCACCAGCCTCTACAGCCACCTCCTCAGCCTCTGCAGCCACCCCAGCTGCCCAAGCCCATCCGACTCTCCCTTCCTCATCTTTGGTGTATTCACAAGTGTCCAGGATCATTGCCTCCAGGAAACAGAGGGCAGGGATATGGGTAAGAAAGCTTGGCCGAACCTAGACGTGTTTTCTCCCAGGAGCCCAGGGTGGTGGTGAAAGCCAGTCCCAGAGTCCAGTCCAGTCCATTCCCAGAAACATTTCTGAAGGGTCTTCTCCTGGTCTGAGCACGTCCCCTCCCACAGGCTCATTCATCCCTGTCCTCTTTCACGTACTCCTACTTCAGTGAGAGGGGACAGATGGGCTAGGGGGAGCTTCAAGGTCAAGGGCAGGGTACTTTGAAGACCTTGGACATGGAAATCTCACTGGTTACAATGTAGCAAGGTCACAGCCTTTCCTCATCTCTTCCTCTCATTTTCACATGGAGAAGGATCTTTAATATTTCAGTCATTCCATGATTGAATGACTGCAGCAAAAATCGCACCGCCAACGAGTTAAAAAGCCATATTTCACGGCTATCATATCTAACAGAAGGGTTTATTTCACAGCTATAATGTTATAGCCATTAAATATATTTTTAAAAGAGTGAAATGAAAACGCCAGTGATTTTTTTTTAAACAGCAATTTAATTCATGGAATCACAGAATACAAATGAACCAACATCAGGTTTGTCACTTAGCTGGCAGGGGCGTCATTCCCACTGCTGTGCTAGGAGAAGAATGTAGGGCTGGTGGCAGTGCCTGTCCTGCTCAAGGGTCTGGAGGCAGGAAATGAGATGCACTGGAGGCAGCATTGTACAATGGAGAAAGCCAGGCCGGGCACTGGGAGGGAGGGGAAAAGACTGAGGCTCCTGTTCCAGTGCTGGCTGCTGATACTTACCATGTGCCAATCCTCTCCAGTCTCTGGGCCAAAGCATCCTCACCCATAAGATGAGGAAGTCAGACTTGAGGTGTGATACTGTAAGGCCCTTCTGCCATGACTGTCCCTAGGAATTTTTGCACCTGGGATGAGAACCACAGGCTAAATCCTGGGTTGTTGGCAGGGGAGGGGTAGGGTGAGGGAGGAGACAGTGACCCTGAGACAGATGAGAGCTCTGGAAGCTGCCTACCCCTCCCCTTCGATATCCACCCAGAGGAAGCAGGCCACAGGGGAACTCCTGGTTTTCATTGATTGATTGATTGACTTCATAAGCATCTGCAAAGTCACCTCTACAGCACCAAGGTTTCAAAAGGAAAACCAAAATGACTGTTAGGAGTTCACTTTCTCTTGGGGGGAGGAGGGGAAGAGGAGACAACAGATATATACATAGACAAGTAAACTCAAAGTAATTGGGGGGTACTAACAGTGTGCATGTATGTGTGTATGTGTGGTCCTCCTGGGGGGTGTCACCTGAGCTGAGCCTTAAACAAAGTGAGCAATTTCGTGAGGGGGACCTGAGGAAGGTGCACTTTCTAGGGATGGGGGACAGCTTGAAGCAAAGACTTGGAGATGAGAGATTGTAGACCCTTCAGGCTGGAGCGTGGAGCATATCAGGGAGAAACCCCTGGTAACCATGGAAATGTGGGCTACAGGCAGGTGGTGAAATGGTTTAAATGCCAAATAAAGGATTTAATTTTGAGTAAGAGAGTGGCCCAGCCACGCCCATGTTTGGAGCACCCGTGTATGAAGGATGGTTTCCAAAGGGTAGATGATGGGAACAGGGAAGCCTCGTAGGAGGCCTGAACCAAGGGTGGCTATGTGATGGAGAGAAGGGTATGCACATGAGGCCTGTTGTGGAGGTGGGATTGACAAGATGGCGGCTGGTGAGAGAGATCTGGAGTGAGGAAGAAGGAAAGTGCTGACGTTGTGAGCCAGGCAAATGAAGGGCTGGCAGAAGGCAATGAGGAAGATAGGAGGTAGAGGAAAGGGCTCGCTCTGTGACCCTGTGATTGAGGCTCCAGTTTTCTGGAGGAGACAGAAAGGGAGGAGATCAAGGGAGCGAGTAGAGGCCTTGGCCCTAACCAGGAGAGAGGCCACTTCTTCCTCATCCAAGAGGAAAGGGGACAGTGGGGGAGGATGTCAAGGGGCTCTGAGATGAAGGGGCTGGGGAAAGGAAGCCCCCGGCGGATGGAGGATGGTGACCTCCCAGTTCTCCTTGAGTGTTCACTTCCTTCCATAACTCAGGAATCATGCTGTCTGTCCTTCCATCCCTCCCTTCAGCGCTGCTCTTCTCACGCCATCTGTCCTTCCATCCCTCCCTTCAGCGCTGCTCTTCTCATGCCGTCTGTCCTTCCATCCCTTCCTTCAGTGCTGCTCTTCTCATGCTGTCTAGCCACAAGGACATGCTCCTTAGAATTAGAAACATTTCCATTTGATTCAAGAGTGTTTATAAAGTGCCTTTTGGTGAGGACATTACTATTCTGTCATTTCAGTTGTTCTGATTCTTCATGACTTCATCCAGGGTTTTCTGGACAAAGATACTGAAGTGGATTGTCATTTCCTTCTCTAGCTCATTTTACATGTGAAGAAATTGAGGCAAACAGGGATAAGTGACTTGCCCAGGGTCACACAGCTAATAAGTGTCTGAGGTTGGATTTGAACTCAAGAAGATGAGTCTCTGACTTCAGGCGGGTGCTCTGTGCACTATGGTGCCACCTAGCTGCCCTATTAAGTGTCTATTTGTGTCAAACCCTATGCTAAGCATTGGGGAAACAGAGCAAAATAAAACATCCCCTGCTCTCAGGCAGCTTACATTCTATGGGGTGCTGTGGGGGCCTGCAAGACATAAGAATGGATGGGTTCCAAAGCGGGGGGACAGTTACACAATTAGCTATAGTCCAACGTCATAGATATTCTTCCCCTTGGGAAAAAATATCCTTATAATTTCAAATTGTAGGTGGTTGTCACAATGTGCCAGCAAAACCCCAGGTGCATTTTAGCCATGTTAGAAAAATCTGAAACAAAAGTCTACTACAGCAAGGGAGTGAAGTGAGAGAAGCGGGCACAGCTCACTTTTGTAGCACGTGGGCACTGGTTCGGTGATCCAATCAACTTTTAAACCATTAGTAAGGTCCTGGACTCCACCCATTAGGGCTAGGATAGGTCTAGTTCATTTGAGTTACACTCTTCCTGGACAGCCCATCAAATGTTCTTCCGTGTTCTGTTAACTCCGTCTGCTTCATGGGTCCTATGTTCAAAAATGGTGGCTATCTCTGCCCTTGGGGTGTGTCAGTTAATATTTAATAAGCTTATTAAGCAAGTGCCCTGTAGAGGCCCGTCTTGAACCCGAAGGGTTGCAACTGGTTTAGCCTCTGGGGCTCTTTCTTTTTTTTATTTTTATTTAATTTTATTTTTAAATTTTTATTAATTTATTTAGATTTATCAACAATCGCTTCCATATACTTTCCCAGGTCTCTTTCTTAAGGAACCGATTATTTACAGAACGTTTGGTGTGCCTTCTGATTGGCTGAAGGGCTATCCACAAGATCTTGGAATTCCCTATCCTGCAGTGGAAGCCCAACCCCCTAAAGCCTTTCTTACAGTCACTTCTCACAGGAAGCCTTATGCTGGGTCCATAGAGTCCGACTGGTCTGGTTCTGATCCAGACCTGTCATGTTTTCCAGTTTCCTCACCTCGGTCTGATTGAAAAAACTCCAGAGTCCACCACCACCGCCATGCTGAAGCAGCCTTTCCTCCCAGAAAGTAAGCGGAAGATGGAGGAGCGGCTGCCTTCACGCTACCAGCTCCGCCAGCAGGTGAGTTACCTGGGCAGCTGGAGCTAAAAATGTGGGAGACTGAGGTTGGGCCAGGTAATGCCAAGAGCCTGGACTCAATTCTCGGTCCCAACACTGTGTCTGGAGGCCAATCACTTCCTCTACTCTGGCCTCGGCTTTCTCATCTGTGAAATGGAATATCGACACCTATAGCTCCCCCACTGCATTTTTGTGATGCTCAAGTGAGCTACTATGTGAAAAGGGTTACATGCATTTGAATGAACTACACGCGATCATAGGACTGTAGCATCCTAACTCTGAAAGGCACCTCAAAGGCCATCTATTGGAGTCCCTCCATTCTACAGATGGGGAAACTGATGCCCAGGAGGTGTAGTGATTTGCCCAAGATAACATAGTAAGCATCAGAGATGGGATTAGGTGTAATTACATGCTTTGTGCATTGCACACCAAGTTTGGAAGAGATGTTCCTTCCATTCCCTCCAAGTGAGCCACTTGAGGGAGGATTTTCCCAATGTCTATGAAGTTGGCAGTGAAAAAAATGAGTGTGTGTTTTGAAGTCCTGTGCCCAGGGCAGGCCGACTCTCGCCTTGCTCTTCCCGCTTCTCGTCTCTCCTCATTGCTCCTATTGGTTCCCTAGCCTTCCTTTTACGTCATTAGAATGACCAAACCACCTGAATTCTGTCTGACCCATCCCTTTCTCTCTCTCGTCTCTTTCTTTTCCAGCAAGCCAACAAAAGCAGCTTCCCATTTTCAGTGCACGATAACAGGCGTGGCTTGGAATTCTGTGGCCACGGTCTGGACGAGGTGAGTATTCTTCGCTTTCGTGCCCTGGGGAGACTGCACTGAGACCCGCTCTCCCTGCATGAATGGAGCACCTCCCTGAAAGGTGGCACAAGCTGGAAATCCAAACAGGACTGAAAGCCAGTGTCACAAAGAGCTCAGAAAAGCCTGCAGTCTTTGGCATTCCTAGTCACCTTGCTAAAGCTGCCGGCTTTGGGACTGTCCCTTGCAGCGCTCTCATCCTGCATCCTTTGTAAGATGCTTCTAAAATGCTCTGTCAGAAGGTGGATGTTGGGACATTGGCCCAATGGCCCTTTTCCTGTACCTACCTGCTGCCTCTTTTTCTTACTTCCTAGATCACCAGGCTAAGGCGGTTTCCACCAGTACATGGCTGGTGGAGATCTGAATAAAGATCTAATCCTTGTTTACATAGGCAGGACACCCCCCAAGAGACGAGGAGATACTCTGTGCTTGTCCTTTCATGCTCACTTGGTTTCCTTGGGAGAGCCTGGTAGTCCCTGAAATTCTCCCTTTGGCAATAAGTAATATAAAATAGAGAAAACATTATGGCTTTTCAGTGTAAGACTTGAGTTCAAATCCTGGGGCTGATACTTCTTACCTGCATGACTGTGGGTGTGGGTCTTAAAACTCTCTTAGCCTGTTTTCTTTTCTGTAAAATGAAGGGGTTGTACTAATCATAATCACTAAAGCCCCTTCTGGCTCGAAATCCTTTCTACAAGGAACCACAAGTGGGATGGAAGAGCCCTATGGAAAAGCTGTCTTAGGTGTAAGCAGGAGGCTGGAAACCAGGCAGAAATCAAGAGGCTTCAGGATAGGCAGCTTGAGCAGAAGAGAAACCATTATCATCTTGACCTTGTTTCTTGCCCATCTTCTCCTCCTCCTTCACCAGAGTCTAGGGCGTAAGAAGCTGGAACAGGTACAAATGCACTTCCATTCTACCAATTTCAATCATTGGACAAGCGACTACGTCCCCACCCCAGAAGATAACATGAGCACTTACCAAGCAGCATACACGGCTAAGTCAAGAGCAAGAGGCCTCTTCTTTCCACTCTACCCCAAACATCACTCTGACAGGTGGAATGCTCGTTTTATATGAGAGTGGAGACAGCTCCAAAGAGAAGCTGCTGGGAAGCATTGCATACTTTCCATTAAACTCCTAACCTCAGGAGAGTTTTCTCATTTTTTTATATAAGGCTATGATAAAAAGAGGTCCCTTTCATTTAGCACCACTTCTAAAACACAAACTTTGGACTAGAATGTGGACGTGATAGAGACTTTGTTTCATAATAATAGTTTTGGTGTCTAAGTTTTTTTAAATAGCAAAATGTTCATAGAAGTGATTGTACTGGGGAATAGAACTCTCCCCCTGCCCATTTATCACAATAATGCTGTCTTCATCTGTAGATTTTTTAAAATGATATTTAGGTAAAGGGAAATTCCTTGATTATGTATATTATAACCCAAATTATTTGAGTAAGATACATTGATAAATAGAAATAAATTCATTGACAGAACTCATCCATAAGTTTGCATTGTGACCAATGAAAGAAGTATGAGGTTTGTCAGCTTTTACAAGTGCTCATTGCTGCAGTCCTGCAGCCTCTGCCATAGTTATGCCCCAAAGAGTAGGGAATGATTTGGAAGATTCCAGTGATGGCGATATCTGTTACTGACCTTGTTAGCTCTGCTGTTAATAAGGCCTGAGGGAAGAGGAAAAAGCCTTCTGCTTTCGTCATCTGTAGCGTCTGCTGCAAATCTGTAGGGATACCAGGATTCCTGGAATCTTGTGGGTTTGGTCTTCCAGCAAAACAGAACACCTCAAATGACTAGGGTTTTTCTTTAGAAAGAAGTATTTTGTGCGTTTCAGCAGTATGTAGTCTACTGTGTAATTCTTGGTTCGATAAGGAATACGCTAAGGAATATCAAAAACGACTCCTATATGGTGAAAGTTACCAACAGCTTTCAAGACAGAAAGCATACTCATTTCTACAAGGAGGATTACAATTGATTAAAATGTATCCTGTCCTGTATCCAGAGCCTTCCTGGTTGGTGGAACTCATGAAGTTCCCAACTCTAACTGAGAACAGGTCCAAGCCTCTCCTCAGCCCTGGGGGAAAGAAAGAATGGGAACAAAGGAGAAGGAGAAGGAGGAAGTAGGGGGAAGGAAAGGTATGGGAGCCATGGATGAAGAGACCCACTCTGGTCACAAAGCAGCACACAGGAGAGGAGCGTATGGGAGCAAAGTGGGGGGAGGCCCCAGTGCAGTCCAGAGGCTGTTCCTTTGTCTCCGTTCAGCAGGGGCTAAGGGAGACAGATCAAGGTCAAAGGCCTTATCTATCTTCCAAGTCTTCTAGTCAAGCTTTATGAGGAACACCTCCTACCTACCTCCAATGGAGGCAATGCTTATTTATGGGGGAAGCTGCCAGCAAGGAATCAGTTTGGAAAAGGGGACGGCTGACCCTCATTAAATGGACAGAAACCCGCTTTTTCAGTCCAGTCCACATGATGCCTTGGGGACCTTATCATGGAACCAATCTTACCTTCTCTATGACAGAAAATGTCCCTTTGAATCTCTGTGACCTATTTGGGAACTAAGTGGAGGTGGAGGGCATTATTCAAATAACTACAAGGTGTCAGCTATCAAACACAGTCACAAGAGGGTAGTGGATGGTGGCGGACATCAGCCTAGATGTCACTCACAGACAGCACCTCCCTCCCCCTCCTCCGCGCCACTCCAGGTCACCCCGGCTCTTCCTTACCCACTCACTCTGTCCCCATAACAGAACACTCAGGTCAGATCCCTTATCTGACTGAATGTGACCAAAAGCCCTTCTGAGCCCCTCAGGTCCTGCCTGGTGGCATGCATCACTTCATGTGGAAAACACAAGGGCCCAGACTGCAGACAATTTAGATCTAACAAACACGAAGGACCTGCTTTGTGCCAGGCATGCTGTTATGTGATGGGTATGCATGAGTACCTTTCCATCCAGGGCTCAATACCTAAGCTGCCCAGACTATGATACATTCACTTCTCTGTCTCATTCACCCAAGCCCAGAGCTGGAAGGAGGAATTCTGCTGCCCAGAGCAAATTCAGTTTGGGGGGATGGGGGCAGGGGTGGGAAGACAGGAGCATATAAAGGAAAGCTTGCCCCATCCAGGTAGAGTTATAATGTGTGAACCCCAGGAAGAGGCAAAGAGTGGGGAGGGGTCAGGCAGAGGGAGCATTAGTGGGTCTGAAGGACAGGACCTTTGTGGCCCCACATAGAATGGGACTGGAGAAGGGGAATTTTTTTTTTAATGAGTTGAGCCCCAGCTTAGAAGGCATAGCCCAAGAGGGGCAGAAAGTCTTAGGGGGAGAGCATTGAGAAGATCTGAGTTAAATCTTACTTGAGACACCTAATAGCTATATGAACCTGGTCATATCACCTCCCTGTGCCTCAGTTTCCTTATCTGTAAAATGAGGATCACAGTATCTACTTCATAGGCTTGTTTGGAGGCTCAACTGAGATAGTGTGTGTAAAGCACATTGCAAATCTCTTATAAATATAAGCATTGACTATTATTGCTATTATTATTATTATTATTATTATCAACATTCTTAGAAACACCCCTCTCCATCTGCTGCTCTGCCTTGTTTTGACACCACAGAACAAGATGTCCTTCCTAGGTTAAGCTCATTACCTCTAATCTCATCACCTGCTGCTGAGGAAAATTAATATTGTGCTGTATTATTTAATAATTTCCCCCTGATCCATCCTTCCCTCACTTTGACAGGACCCCCCCTTTGGAAGGGCAGGCAGTTTCTGAAGGGTGTGATGGAGTAAGGTGATCGCTCCCAGCCCCCAAAGCACCTGCTCAATTAATCAGCCTTGCCGAGACCCTTCCCAGTGATGACTCTTAATGTCCTTGCTTTACCTCATCAAAATGAGGGGTGACCTGGTCTACAAGGGGGAGACCAAACCAGGAAAGAACCTGACTGGGATGGCTTTTGTTTTTCTTGCCAAGATTGCTAGAGGCAACTGGGTCTCAGGGAGGGGAGTAATGCCAGCCCACCTTCCCTAGCTACAGACTAATCCTTTCACCTAAGGATTAGCCCTGGGCTCCACCCTTTACAATAGAGTAATAGGGAGGAGCTGAGAACTATTAACCCACCTCCTCATTAAAATGCTCACCAATCGGGATTCCCTTGGGGAAGACCAAATGATGGACTGTCAAGCCAACCCAAAGGAAGACACACCTAGGTTTAAAAAGCTCTGTTGGCCCTCCCTCCAGGTCTTTTGGCACCAATGGAGGCAGACCAGAGATCCCTTTATAAGTAGTTCAGCACACTATTAATAAATATGTCGCGCAAAAAATTGCCTCAGTTTACCTAATTGTCCAATTCCACTCTTAACCCTGCTAATTCAAGTCTTGCCTGACATGACCTGTTTGCAAGGCTAGAAGGCTATGAAACTCCCCCCCACCCTGCCCCATGCCTTCCTTCCTTTGTAGAGGGCAGAAAGTGGACCTTTTGGCTTGCTCCCCTCTGCTTCTGCTGCTCTGCCTGGTTTTAGATACCCTCTGGTCTCTCCCTGTCCCACTTCCTTGCTTTCCTGCCTCCTTTTGTGTGTTATCTCCCCTTTGGATTATAAGCTCGATGAGAAAAGGGACTTTCTTTTTATTGCTCATATCCTCAGTGCTTAGCTCACAGAAGGTGCTTAGTAAATGTTCAAGGGATTGGATTATTGGACTGGATATGTATTGTCTTAATTATTAAATTATTATTATTGGAGACATAGGATGATCTTGACTCCCAGGCTACCCCCTTACACCCCTGAGAAAATAATGTGTGGGTAGATGGTGGAGAAGCCAGAGAAGCAAGGATGAAGTGGGAAGGAGAGAACATGAGGAGGTGATCTGGGGTGGCTTAGGAGACACTATGCGAGACCCAAAAAGATATCAGGGCAGGTGGGCTCAGAGACTGTTTGCTGAGATTTGCTTCCATAGCTTACCCAGAGTGAAC